TGACAGATCTGTAATTCATATAATGGGCAGTCAAGGCTGTAACAATGCCAGAACAGACGGATTTAACTTTGGTTTCAGCAGCCTCATTTTCACGAATACCAACATGGACGGGAATAAAAAATATGAATAAATATATGATGATGAAGAGAAGTGTGACATTTCTTTCTATATATCCAAAAGTACTAGGTCAGAGCTTCAATGCTTAGCTTCAACATGATCTAAGGCAATTTGGCAGTGAACATAGAATCTGTAGAGTGCAACCACCGAGCCACAGCAAACCATAACAGTGCTTACAGAGTCACTAGATTTTGAACCATCTATAAAAACAGAAAAAGAAGAAGAATGGTTCAAAATATGTTCAGCAAAAAGAAGATGATACTTTCAATCAGGAGTATCTGATCTCCTCATATAATTCAAAGAAAGGTCACAAGCTTGGCAGGATAGACTGATAATCACACTCAGCAATATTGTCCAACATCAGTCAACCATACCTTGATATGAAGGCCGAATGCAGGAACAGCAGACTACCTATTCTCAAAAAAACACAGTCCACCAAGGCATGAACATGATACTGCGGTAAGGAACAGAGCTTTGCAGCCTATTGCAAGGAATGTTACAAATATCTAAGGTGAAATGGAGGTTCATATGACTCATTGTATAAAAGTACGGAAAGCCCTCATGCAGAGCTGAAGTCCCTAATGATATACAGGGTTCAACATCTTCAAGGTAGAGTCCCTAGTTGAACCACTGACCACAGATTCATAGTCCAGCTTTGATCAAGTGAGAGCACAATAGACATTCAACATGGAATATCTATCTGTTCTATTAGCCTATTCCAGCTTCCATCATGCACATGCAGTGAATGACATTAACCATGGCCAGGCTTTTTCAGAATTATGGGGAAATGGCCACTTGTCTTTAGGTCATTGTTCGCCCTGCACGGAAAACAGGGAAGAAAGGAATGGGAACAAATAGATAGATCAAAAGCAGTAAAAGACTAACTAGGAGCACGAAACATGTATAAGAAACAGTACTGAGGAGAGAAAGGTAGTGATCCCAGAGCATACACTTTGCACAAGGACTCCTCCCACCAATATTGTCACCACTCCCACAGTGGACTGTGTCCATTATAGTGTCCAAACATTAAGAAAGGAGATAGCAACCATTCAATAAGATGATCAATGTCTGCTTGATCATAATCCTCTCTCTATGACAGGTAAAGAAAACAAATAGTGATGGTACAACCTATAGAGAAACGGATTCCAACAAACTCCAGTGGCCTATTGTGTGTCACAAAAATGGTTGGTACATAATGTTCAACTAGCAGTACTACGCTTCCATGAACTCATCCATAACATAACCTGTCTTTCTGGTAGAAAGAAAACCATCAAAAGGTGTGACAGTGTCAGCAGGTCTTACAAACGTTTCCAGTAAAAAGAGACACGAAGTTTGACAATAATCAATCAAGAAATCATTCTAAATTAAAATAGAAATATTGGCTGTTGCACTGTGTGAAAGTGGTCATTTTTCTTTAGAAGGAGTATGAGAATCGGGTGTAGTGCCTTTTTTTTCTATTTGTTATCACGGTGTTTTTGTTTATTAGAAAGTGGTGTATCAACCGTCATGGATTCTGACCTGAGTCAATGGGGCAGGTTCCTGTTCCATGAATGAGAATCTGTTGAGCAAGTGTGTGCCCAAATTAAGGTTCTGGTTATCAGGGCATATGGAGAGGGGCATGAGCATTCACTAGATGTTGCTGTAATGATGTAGATTGGAGTAGACATATACTTGTCAACTCGTGTATCGTGGAGGGCAACTCGTGGGAAGAATTGAGAGATCTGTTCTTACCCAAATTCTTGCAGTGGGACAGAATACAGCAACATAAGTCCCAATTGGAGGAGGAAACATCAACTTCTGTGCCTTGGGATATGAAATGTCTTTACAGTCCTTAACTAATTCGCGTTTTTTTCTTCCGCCCATTTAGAGCATGAACGAAAACAGGAAGATTGGAACTATTTCAGTTAACAAAATGTGGGTCCAGTTGACACTCACAGCTTTTGTGATCTTTGCCATTGTATCAGGCATACGTTAGAAACTACGCACAAGATGTTGAAAACATTTGAGAGAATTAGAAATTCAGAGCCACGCCTTACAGTTGATAGAGCCAAGTGGACGTGGTGAATTAAATATCAATGTACGAATGTTAGAAGGTTATGTTATTCCATCTTTACGAGTATAGTTTTATCAAATAGCTGAAACTCCTTGGCTGGAGACACCAGCGATAATTTCTAATGTGGGAATGTTAATCAGATTACTCTCAATGATTACTCCTCTTGAAACTTTATAGTAGCGTGGGGAGTAACCTCAATAGAAATATATCCAATGAACTTTGATTTCAAAAAGGAGGTTGCTATGTTGTGACATAGATGTTTAGACCAAGATGTCCCTAGAATATAACTTCTTTACTGACTTTGGAAAGCCAATAACCGTCTCCAATCCCTTCTGGGTGAAAAAGGAAGATATTCATCCTAAAGATTTGTCAGACAATGAAGGAAGAATCATAAACTGAGGCACAATAACAGTTGGAGATAGTGAATGTGGAACAGTCTCCCATTTGTGGTTGTTTCCCAATCATTTACTTTTTTATTTGATTTTGATTTTCGTTATTCTTAAAATGCACAAAAAAGAAATATTCAGTACCAACTGACCCCACCCATCATGTATTCCTACAAGAAGATGTGCTCCACTGTCAAACTAGGACAATGCAGCTATGTCAGGGCTTCACGGGCATTATACCCAAACACCAGCTCCAGACATAATGTCCACAGCACTAGATGCGAAAGTCCAACACTTACACTCATTTGCCCTAGCCCCATAAGACCAGCAAATTAACTCTAGGGACCACCCCAAGGCCACCTGTCCACAGAAATTCAAGGCCAAAGTGATGTGTTGCAATGCCCCTGAAACCATTCAACCACCAGGATCCTCTCCTGCTTTTCATGAGTCGCCACACGTGGCACACACGTGGGTGGATGTTTGGATTCCAGAGAAGGTAAAGTGTACAGACAGAACATCAAGGGTAGTCCCAATGTACCAATCAATCTCCTCTTTTAACATGAATACTTCTATAGGTTCCCCAAGCTAGTCCTTACCCAAAATAAGAACCATTATAACATTTGCCCATAGTACCTGAGCACATGTACCAAATTTAGTCCTGCTAGCTTTGTAAGGTATGAACAACACAATTCTAAATATGGCGCCTCTTGAATCCTCTATCAAGTGGCGTCAGGAACATATTATGTACTGGCAGATTCTGGTTGAGCGAACTAAAGCTTATTCTTTGTCCATCATCACGCCAGACATGTTACCCCATATCTTTAATTGTAAATGTATGTCAGAATTATTTATAATATTTGCAAAAAGTTTCATATCTTAACAATTCAGATTTTCACGTTTCTCCAGGAGTATTTCCAACGAGTTCAGTCTTATAAAAGTGCTTTTAAGGTTTAGATCTTTTTGCATGTCACTGCATTTGGCTACATAGTGATGGCTATCTCCCCAGTATTGACTACGGTTATTCCCAAGGCAACCCTAATTCTTTCTATGATAGTTACTCTATTATATACTAATATATGTACTTTACCATCCACAATTTGGATTTGGCTCTCCAAGATTTGAAAATTTTATGGAACTTCTTGTTTTTAGTTATAAAATAGAAAGATCAAGCCTTGCAGTTGCATGGTATATACATATATCTTAAGAATTTACGTAAAATCCAAGTAGGGATCCAGCGTAGCTTCGTGTTTAGTGTAATAGACTGGGAATCCTAGAGTCATGGGTCAATAAATGATACAACAAAACATGTTCGTACTTTCAACTGTGATCTGTTATACTCTCGCTGTTCAGAATTAGAGTGCTATATCTAGACCTGCATCCGAGAGCATTTACAAAGTTCGAACATTACAACTCATTTAATTTTAGTGGATTCTCATCAGACATTAGTATTTTTCGAAAACATTATATAACTTTATCGTGGAAATCTCAGCGTGTGTGTGGCTGCTGAATAACAAAGGACAAAGATAGTTAACTTCCTGTTCGTAATTAACTCGCTCATCGTGAACCCTCGATAAGATATCAAAAACGTTCCAGACTAGAATGAAGACTTTATATTGTTTGTAAGTTTTTGAAACTTTTGTTTATAATAACTGTTATTGTAAATTATATTGTCGTGTGTGTATTAAAACGTATCTGTGTTAAAAAACTGTGTGTATCAATCATGTTGGCAAATATATCAGCTTTAATTTAACTACTAAATCCAAAGTAAAATTTAACTACTAAATTTAAATTTATCCGTTAACTCAATTTCAGGCTATTTGAAATTCTAATACGTAACAATATATATATATATAATATTATATATTGTTATTTAATCTGCTCTTTAAAAAAAATATTAAAACAGTGATATTTTTCAAGTAGAAACAACCTCTTCAGTCAGAAATTGTGATTTTTTAATACTCATATAATTATTAGCCGATCGTTGCCAGGTAATTAGCGTGCTGGCTTGTTGATTCTTGGTTCGCGCCACGTTAATACAAAAATAAAACAAATAACGAAGGTATTACAAAAGAGCTGATCAAATCCCACTCCTCAATAAGAGTAATCTACAAGTAGATCGTGGGTGGTGTGGAATAGCTACCTCCTTCTAGTCTATCATTTCAAAACTATAGGTTGGTAGAGCAGATAGTCCCCGAGTAACTTTTCACGAAATTCACCAAAAAACAAACGCATTTATAAAAATAATATTAAACAGATAGAGAAGAACTTCTTTCTTTATAAATCAGTAAAAATTTAAAACTGTAAGTATTCTTCTAAACATTAAATTCATCTTCAAAAAGAAAAAAGTGACTGCAAATTAAACTTGATGAAATTTTATTATTAATTACGGCAATATTTTCTATATTGTTTGTTTGATGTTTGGTAGATGGAGCCACTTTATTATCATAGTGTCTTGAATTTTGAGGAAAGCTACTCGAGGGCTGTGACTGCTGGCCATCTTTAATTTTGAAGCGATAGTTTAGAGGGCAGACAGATAGTCATCATCACTGGTCGCCATCTTTTGGGTTTCTCCTCACCAACGAAGACTGCGGTTGACAGTCATACTGTAACTCCTTAGCGTCTGAAATGGTAACCTACATAATATAAGGTCTAATACCTAACCCATTTTATCATGCCAGGCCTAGCATATGGTGAAAGTCCTTATCTATGTAACATCGAACATTTAAAAATTGTTTATTACGGTTATCAATAGTCTTTTTAAAAGTCTCTTCTGCTCACAAGCTGCTTCTTATGCATTTTATATCATGATTACAATTATGCTTTAATTTTATTTTAGAACATCATCATCATATCCACACTTACCAGCCTTGAAATTCAATGCATATGTTTTAGATCATGCAGATTATTATAAAAGACCTTAAATTGATGGATGTATAGGCATTTTCAATCTGCGATAGAAGAAGAAATTATAGTCATCAATTATAGTTGATCATATAGCCAATTTTATACAAATACGATTAGTTTGAAGATACATTTTTCATAAGCGTTACAAGTGCTTAATATGTAATTTAGTAGTTCGTATATATGTACTCCTATAGCATTTAATAAACACTGATGGTCTTGTTTGTTTTGAATTTCGCCCAAAGCTACACTAAGGCTACCTGCGCTAGCCGTCCATAATTTAACAGTGTAAGACTAGAGGGAAAGGAGCTAGTCATCACCACCCACCGCCAACTCTTGGGCTACTCTTTTACCAACAAATAGTGGGATTAACCGTCACATTATAACGCTCCCACGGCTAAAAGGGCGAGCATGTTTGGTGGGATAGGGATTCGAACCCGCGACCCGCAGATTGCGAGTTGAGCTGATGGCCTTGAATGAACACTTTAGTTTTTTCATTTTAACTTAAGCTATATTATGATACTATATAACATATATACTACATTATCATTCATTTGGTGCAGTTTGGAGTTGAACCCAGTGGGTCAGATATTATTTTACGAATTTACAACAATAAAATCCGGAGTTTGATTCCATTCTAAAACAAACAAGTTGTTTGGAAAGGAAAAAAAAAGTTAGAATTTTAATTTCGCTATAAGTAAATAATTAGCGATTTGTATGTCACTTATTAGTATTATTAGTCAGCATAAAGTATTCTATGATTCAAATTTAATTGTTTGGAGGAGAACACATTAAACAGGTGTTAAATATGTTATCGGTTGCTAACTAAGATAGCGTTTTGTGTTTGTTTATTGTTCCGTGTGGATCGTATTCCTATAAGTTAATAAATGAGACAAGTGGCTTTATTCCAAACTTGAATATATGACGATTGATATTGACTTATATTATCAATCCGACTGTTAAAATTTTTAACTTTAAATCATTACAAAGGCGAAGGTTTTAAAATAGATATTTTCATGAAAATATTGATTATCATATATTTTAAAATTATTTTCTTTTTCTATTTAAAAATTGTTCAGGTCTTAATATTAATCGAATAGATACAATGTATTAAATTAAATAGTACTGTTTTATTCATCCTCTGTGGTGATACTTATAGACTTATATAACTTTTTATGGTTTTTCTTAAGGATTGTACGTTATGTTGACTAGAAAGTTGTAGCTTATCTTGTTAATTATGTGAATTTTGTTTTCCTGACCATGCTGTGTTTATTCGAGTGCAAAGTGAGATTCGTGTTATTTAATTCACTAGACTTATCCTATTAATAAAATAATTTAAGTGAGGATTTCAATCAGATAGGTAGAAAGAAGAGGCAGAAATCTTTCATTAACATAAAAGTCAGTTATAATACATTGTTGCTATGTATCTACATAATAGTAAATATTGAAAATAAATGGTTCAAACTCTACATAATCATATATTTTATTCATAAATGGTTCACCATACTTTAACTGGAGTTTTTGTATGTTACTGAAACTTAAAAGTCAGTAAACATACTTCATTCACATTACATAGTGATACAAAACATTAAATGTGTATTCATAATATCCCATTACTCAAAATTTGACGAATTAGCGTACAAGTATTGAATAATGTGCACAATATACAGCAAATGGTCAGATGTTCAGACTCTGTCAGTCGGCTTAGAAATTTTTTTCAAAATTAAAGTTGTATTCAATTTTAATATATGCTATTTACATAAACATGTAAAATGTGTGAGATATACATTATGTACTTGTGTAGTAACAAAATTAACGGTTTCCAGGTAGTGTTGACTTAGTTGGTTTCCAAATACACAAATGACCATTACCGACATTTAACTATGATGTTTTAATTATTTTACTTTATAGGAAGATCATAAATAACAAAACAGTGTTCTCTGATTATCTTCTATAAATCTCACGTTTCGTCATAGTCCAATATAGAGAACTATTTTCTATCATTGGACCCAAAGGGGATTCTACCTATCTGGTCATAAATGACGTCATTAAAGAGGAGTTGCTATTTCAGCAGATCTAGGGTAGGCAACGATCAGTTCCGAGTTGATCAACAAGTATCATACAAACTTAACAAAAATTTTAGGTACTATAAACATCATAGTTTATAAATTACTGGATTAGCTTTCATACAAATTATGTCCATTCCAATTCACTATATATATATATATATAAGATTATATTAAGTTTATAAACAATAGTCGT